TTCCTGCATTTGGTAGACACTGCCAGTGTTTGCAGACTTGGCAAAATGAGGTGTGGGTTTAGTAAGACATTTCGGAAGGGCATTCAGTTCTTGCCTCTACACCTGTGATTTTTTACGTTAAGTTGRTTCAGGTGCTCAGATTAGGATGAAAACAGGGACAACATAAGCTCAAAGACTATGCTGTGCTTGCTGTAACAGTTCTAAATTTTAGTAATTAGTCAGTCTCTTGAATGGTGCTTCTTAAAATCTGCTATTGTGTATGCTGGCTCTCTCCAGCAGTGACTGTTTTTGATGCTCCATTGTTTGAGATGACCCCTTAGCTGAACTCTCTGAAACTCAAATGTCTAATGTTCTTCATCAGGCCATGGTCTATAGATCCATTACAATGGAGCCGGAGCCTGCCTACAGCTTGGGAGCAAACTCAGACCTGTCTGTCACTGGCAAGAGGGGAATGCCACAAGCGCTTCAGTTCTGCTCGTGTCATTCTGCTTTGATAGTGGAAGGCAGGCTTTAAACAGATCTCCTGCCTGCAAGAAAGGGACTTAGTTAGCAAAAGGCAGAAAAATTTGCTTTAACTTAGTTAGCTAAAAATCTGTTACAATGTCTTTATTCTGTTTCTAGTATGTYTGTATTTTTCTTACTTTGTTTTCTCCTCTTACGCACAGTATTACTTTCCCACTTGTAGGCTTTGTGAATTTTGGGTGAGAAAGCAAAAGGATGTAATTTCCATTACTACCTTCCCTTTGTTAAGGAACCTTTTCCTCTCTTGGATCATCTGAAGCAGATAGAAAGTCATATTGGATTGAAAAGCCCCATTCGTATASTGAAAGATACACAGACACTATTTCTGTAGTCCAGCCCTTCTTGGGCTGAGTGTTTGTGCACACATCTAATCTGCTTGTGTGTCCTGCCCTCACACCCTTTGTGAAGTTCTGAGAAACAAAAAAGCAGGTGAACTGGCTGCTCTAACAGTGTTGCAGTTAAGTCTTCACAGACTTAGCAGCTGCCACACTGTAAAACTGACTGTAAAACTTAGCTTTCTGCTTCATCTCAAAATGGGCAGGTCAAGAGACCGCCCAAGTCAGTGTCTTTGATGTTACATATACTACAGACTTTTCTCTGAAAAAGCTGCCTGATACTTTCTCAGTATATGAAAGACAGAGAAAGCTACACACAGTTGAGCTTTACTGGGCACTAGTTTTTCACAGATTCTCTTTGCAGCCTTTAGCTCTTTAGTGAGTGACAGAACTCRGTAAGTGAGAAAGAAACTAATTCTAGATTTCTTAGTACTGGGAGGTACCTGATCACCTGAAATATGCTGGTTCTGGAGGCACAGAAGAGGCAACAAGAAATGTATGTTGCATTTTCATTTAACAGATCATTGCTAGAGAAGGAATGACCCATGGCAGTAAGTTTCTTGTGTTAGTCTACCAAGAATCAATGAAGCAAGTACAAGTGCATCCAAAACCTGTGATCTCTTGTTATGTGACTGCTGGTCATTTTGGTTTATTATCAATTGAGCTTTTTTCCCAGTAGGTTCTGTTACAACAATATTTCTGTATTCTTTAATGTCCTATTCAGAGTTATTCAAACTAGAAGGAAGGAGGGTATTTTGTTTTAAATACGGAGCTGTTACTGCTTAACTGAATTTGAGTTACATTTTTTGCCATTTTTAGACAGGATTTTGAATAGCTTTTAGAATCATAGTCCAGTGTAGCACTTCATTCTCAGTTTCCAAATTCTGTTTGCTACTACTTGATTTAAGTGCTGTGGGCAGCCTTTTTTTATTCTAGATCCTCTGATACAAAATTTTGATACCGTGTTAATCTGTTAGCCCTTGGCAAACACTTAGGCTATTAAATTCAAACCCAGCAAACATTTAAACAATAACTAAATTAGTTTGCCAAGTGTTACTGGTTACTTATGTCATTAATAAAGCTTCTTGTCAGGACTCCTTTTGCTGGAATCAGTACCCTTAGTTGACTGTTACATACTTTTCTCCAAACAAAGGTAGGATAGCTTATAAAAAAACCCAAACCCTAGGTATTTGCATTGCTTAGGCTGTAAAATTAGAGACCTATGATTTTGTGTCAAGGTGTGTTGCACTGCATTTGTAATGTGAGCTAAAGTCTCATGCTTTRGGTTGATTTTCAGGGTTTTTTGTCTCTTCTTAGAGGAATTAAGCAGATTTCGTGTCTTGTGAAACAGAAACCACACACACACCTGTGTGAGCATGCATTTCTCCCCTGCCCCAAAATGCTTTCACAGAACTTGTTCAGGGTTATGTTTTCTTATTGCTTTTCCACTTGAGACCAGATTGTAAACCCAGGAAACTGTATTGAATACTCCTCATACTCAGCCCTGTGGTCACCAGCCCCTCACATCCTCCCAGTTTGCTTGTACTGTTTGTGGGGTGTGTGAGAATGGTCCTAACGAYGTCCGTGGGTGTAGAAACTCATACTGACTGTAAATAGCTTTGAGGCTTGAACTCCAGAAAGGATTTGGGAAGCAGTTTCCTTTGGTACCTTTCAGCTGTGAAAAATGCAGGGTTATTTATCGACCTGAATTGGTTTGAGGCAGCTGTTGCGTGAGTGCTGTGTGTGCAGTGCTTTGCCATCCTTGGCTAAGCAGCTTCCTGTCGAGACCACTGATCCGTGTAACAGCACTGTCTGTGGCAGAAGTGGTTGGGCTTTGTGCCATTCTGTGTGTCCAAACCTACTTCYAAGCCTAATTTTGAGAAAACTGTATTTGGATAGCTTAAGCTGAGGGCGAGGTGGGGCAGTGACACAATTAACTGTGATTAATTATTTGATTTTTCGATCGTCATTTTGGCAAATTTTGCTTTCACAGTGCAGTTTTACAGACTTTATTTTTGGGGATAATTTTTGGCCTAGGCATCAGTTGAGGAAGCAGGAGATGTCAGTCCCATAATTGCATCTATTGTGACCCTGGCACAGTGGAAAAACTGGGATTGCTTGCACCACATTTTGCATGTAAAGCTTCTGACAATTTCTTACAGGGATCCTCAAATACTATTACCAGTAGCTGTAGTTAGTGGGTGTTGATGCTGTTTGGGCTCGTAGCTTATGTCATAAAGGAAATCAGGASTACTGGGGAGGGAAGGGAGACATGAGCAGGAGGCATCCTGGAAAGCTCTGTGTGTTCAGGGTATAGAAAAGGGAAGGAAATAAAAATAATGGGCACATGGAAATATGCTGTGTAGCTACTTCCGTGGGTAGAAGCTATCCCTTCTAAGTTGTTAGACCTTGTTTGAAATTGGGAGGGGCAGRGAAGAAAGGCATCTGGTGTTTGTGTAGCATTTAGGAAGTWTGTATTTGATATCTCTTTATTAAAGCAAAAAGATTTTAAAGGGGTCTGTGCTTGGAATATGTTACATTGCTGGTATTGAGGTAAGAGTTTGCTYRTGAAAACCAAGTTATTCAGGGTAGTTAAAACTAAAGCTTAACTGGGAGTATTGCTAATGGGAATCTGTTATTTTGACTCGGGCAAGACACTTTTTATTGATAAATGCAATGGAATCTACATGGTGTGTAAGAATGGGAAATCTAAACAAAGCAGGTGTCTGTGATTTCAAAATCTATCACAGAAAAAAMCTGCTAGCACAATCTGCTATCTTTAAAAAGATACAGATAATGTGAGAAATCACTAGTGGAGACTTTTGCAGCTGAAGAGCAAACATGCTAATTGTGTCTTCATATTTTGATGTTTTTCTTTAATTCATTTCAGTGTGCAATAGAACAATACTGGATATGTAACCAGTTACGGTAAAAATAAGGAAGAGCAGCTGTACCTAAAAAGCAGGATGGTTTAATATATCCCAGTTATACACATACTGGAGAGGGTCTGGTGGAGGCTCTCCAAAGTGGTTAGAGTGCTAAAGCAAATGCAATACATTGAGAAGGCTTAGTGTGTGTTTTCCTTCAGTTTTGGGGAGGAGGAGGAGGGCAGGGGTTTTGSTGTGTTCAGTGATCTGAAGGGGAGGTTTAACAATGGAGGAGGCAGAGTCATCTCAACCCTGTAGCCGCCAAGGATGAGAGACAAGAGTCAGAAGTTGCCACACTGGAAATTCTGATGAGATCTTGGGAAACTTCCCCCTCCCCCACAACAGGATTAGTCAGCCATTGAGAAAATTGTTCAAAAAGGTAGCAGAAATCCCAGCCTTTGAACACACCCATTAACAACTGCACCAGAAAAGACCACAGACAATCTGATCTCACTKGTTCCTGTTTAAGCAGATTTGACCACCTGGTATTTTGAGGTTCTGTCAAAGGGAAGCTGTTCTGTAATGCTGTGGCTTTGTGGAAGACAAAAACATAAAGGTCTTCAAGGCAACTGATTAGGTTAACAATATTTAAAAAGGTGTTTCAGTAGCTGTTCAATGAGGAAAAGCATCCATCTCCATACTTCTTGCTTGTATGTTGAAAGAGCATGCTCTCTGCAAGATTTTTCTGATCCCTTTGATGACTCTGTATCTGCCAAACTACAGAGCAGAAAGACTGATGAAAGTGACCCCTGCTGGCCACAGATTTTCTCCTGATTCTGGCTTCTCTGGAAACGTTTTGAAAAACGAAAACAAAAACCATTRGTTTAGACCATGCATATGATGGACGCTGTGCTGAGGCCACGCGGGAATTCCTTAAACTTTATGTGGAGCTGAAGTGCTGTATTCTTTATAAGGCTCTAGTTTTGGCAGGGGATTCTGGGCTCAGTATGTTGAGAATTTTCCATTCTTCACTTTTGTTCCTAGTGTCCGGAAGATTTTACACTGTTGAGTAATAGTAGCTGTGTAATAGTAAATGTGCAAGAGTAATACTAAACTGTACATTTATGACTAAAGTGATGAACCACAGTAAATTATTAATTGCGTAAGATTTTCTTTTCAACCTGTCTAAATATATCTGAAACAAAGGCTCTAGTTTTTATTTGCTCTGTTAACATACAACAAATACAAATAGTTTTGGGKTTTTTTTGTCTTGCAGCATAAGCAGCACTATCATGGACGTAGACAGCACAATTTCCAGTGGCCGTTCCACGCCGGTCATGATGAATGGCCAAGGAGTTCCCACCTCCTCTGCCAAAAGCATTGCCTATAACTGTTGTTGGGATCACTGCCACGCCTGCTTCAGCTCCAGCCCGGATTTGGCGGATCACATTCGCTCCATACACGTGGATGGTCAGCGAGGAGGGGTTCGTGTTAATTTTGGGTTTTCTCTCTTTCTGTTTGCCAGTATTTTGCTCTTGAATGACAGTAGCAAATTTTCTGTCTCAAAATTCCAGTTTTGTAACTAGTGGCAGCAAATTTAGTGGCCTGACTTAAGGAATGCAGTCAGTTCTTTTCAATAAATTATTTGAGACTACCAGGGTTTTGATAGTGCCTGAAACTGCTGGTGTATCTTTTAAGTGCTTACCCTTGGAATTCATTTTCTTAAACCTCTTATTGTACGTGTTGCTGCATGTGAAGTCACATCTGAATTGCTGTAACTAATGGAGTCTCACTAGAGGTAAAATACATCCAGAATGTATAATAGGGAAGATGTAAGACTGACTCAAGAGTAAAAAGCCTTAACAAAACAGCTCTGTGTAATAGGGATGGCAAGTTTACCTTCTGTATAATTGCATCTAATTTTTGTTTTTTTTAAAACAAAACAAAAATTGAGTTGCATATAAAAGCATGTAAATTCCAGTCTAATTCCTGGTCAAATGATAATTGGTCTCAACTTTAATGTTTCAAAACATCTTCCAGTAGAGTAATTTCAACTCTGTGCTTAACTACCTGCCCCTCCTCAAACTCCCAAATTACCTCTGATGCCTGGCATATATCATGTAAACTTGCTTTACATCCAACACAAGCACTTTGCCTGCTTTAGGCAGTGTATATTGCAGCTGTTCAATTTTGGGAGACATAATATCAGTTCTTAAAGTAGAACAGTTGTTATCTTTTGACTTTTTGTCCTGTCACKTCTTCAGAAGAAAAATGTTAGGCTGTTACACTTTATCTTCAGTGAGGAAGAAACTTAAATAAAATGCTCATTTGCATTACTTTAAATAATTTTTATATATGAATGCGTCACTGAGACAGTTGTGACTCTGGCTGTATTTAGTAATATTTTTTGACATGAGCGAACTTCTCAGCTTCATGTTGATGACTTTTTTCAGTCCAGTATTTAAGCAGAATCATTCATCCAGTGTAGTGGCTTTTTAGCCACTCATGAGATGATCTCTGAGTTCTGTCCACAGGTATATAAAAGTGTTATATGAAGTCTGGATGAAGCAATGAAATGAAAAAGATGTGTTTGGATCTTTGTTATCCCATCCATGACTCCTTTATGTTTCTTAAAAAGAGACTGAAAGATCTTGCAGGTTTTGATTTGGGTTTTTTTTTTCTTGTGTTCCACTTTTTTGTCACATTTCAAGTGACAGGATTTGTGGATATTTTTRTATAGAAAATGTTGGACTGTATTTGTATATTTGAAAGAGTAGGTTGTTGGAAGCATGAARTGTCTAATAAACTGTTGCATTCAGTTCACGCTTTTGAATCCCCCTGCTGGAGTTAGTTTATTTTTTGAGAAGTTCCAACGTGGTGCCCTGGAAGGGAGATGGATCCTGGCGGGTTTGTTTCAGGGATTTGTCTGCCACCTGCTGGTGAGGTGTTTAAGTGTGTTAGAAATTGCTTTRTGCTTTTTATGGGATTTCAGGTCTTGTTTAACTTCAGTGACTCTGGATTTGCAGAAGAGTAGGGGTTAGTAGTTGCTTACTGAGAATGGAAAGGAATAGGATAAACTCATTGGATGGTAAAATGTTTTTTTTCTGGCTGATACTGGAGTTGTGGCTCCAGTCTGAACCAGATACATCCATGAAGAGCTTGGGAAACTTTTTGACAAAGCAATTTTGCTTCTGCAAGATGTTTTTTCAAAAATATTTTGGGTTCAGCTTTTGACAGGGATTCCTAAGAAGGCTTGTTTGGTCTTCTGGTGGGTGATAGTAAACCCAAGTCCTTGTATTCCACCACCTATAAACTTCACAGTAGCACACCTTTGCCAAGTGCCCTGCAGTCTGCACATGCTGATGGAAATACTGGRACGTTTAATGGAGCTGTTGCAGAGCCAGGAATCTCAGAAATTCCAATTCTGTGGTTTTGAGGGGATCTCAAAACTGAGGAGTGGCAGATCCCAAAGGTTTAGGGGCTTTGGTGCTTATTTTTGTATGTCTGGATCAGTCACACAGACATGGAGGGGTTTCCAGCTTTATCTGAGTAAAGCTGGGTTGTGTATCCATTATACAGCAAGAACATAGAGCTCCCTTGGCTGCTCTTTCATTTTGCAAATACAATCTTTTGAAGGTTGAGGGGTTTTTTTCTCCAAWAGAGAACAAGAAACTCAAATCCAATTAGTTTCCTGCATTTCTGAAAACCTGTATTACAGACAGTGCTGTTCCTGGGAACTTTATTTTGCTGTGACAAATTAGGGTTTTACTTCCCTTCACACGCAGACCTGTTGAGGAAATTCTAATGAAAAGCAAGTTCATTGAGCTTTTTTATTCCCTCAGTTACAGATAAACACAATGAGAGGAGAGAGAAAAGCAGCATGAGTAAGTTCTGCTCCCCTTAGTGCACTATTGTGCATGTGATTGTTCGGTACATTGSAATCACAAAACATCCATATATTTTGAATCCTGTGAGAGATGGTGACTTTCTTCATCAGGAATTGAATATAAGGCCCTAACTAGAGGTATCTAGTATTCCAGAATGCAAAACTGATATATAAACAACTGCACTGCAATTAAGAGTTTTTTACTTTTCCATGCTCAAAGAWTAAAATCATTTGCTTATGAGAGTAAATACTTCCCAGAAAATGCAAATTTTTCATTTAAAAGTGTTCTGTCTCTATATCTGGTGGATACGGATACTGAGTGCAAACACAAATAAGCAGCTCCTGTTGCTCTTGATTGTGTTTATCTGCAGGAGCATCTGCCTGTTGATATTTTATTCCAGTGRCCTGTTTTTATTGAATACTTAGGGTTGTAATTATATTTTTCCTTGGTGAGATACAAGAAGTGTTGCAAAACAAATGGTTATTATTCARAATTCTTTGAAGTGTTGTGAAATGTTGTGAAAACAGTCTTCTTTGCTAACGTGATTTTTTATTTACTGTGTTTTTTGATTTGTGTAAGCTTACCACATTTTTATTCTATTAGGTGTTTGTTTGCTTGTGGAAAGGTTGCAAAGTATATAATACACCTTCAACAAGTCAAAGTTGGTTGCAGAGGCATATGCTGACGCACAGTGGGGACAAACCTTTCAAGGTAAGGTTCATTGTAACATACATCTTCTCTTATTTTTAGAAAAATTCTCTTTATTTTTCCTAATACAATACGTCAACTGAAAAATGCGATCACAGGAGGATTTCTTAAAAAGCATCCAGTGAAYTGAGCCTGGCTCTTTGCAGTAATAGTACCCAAAGGTCCTGTTCTTTTACAAAAGCAGGTGAAGAAACTGTTATTGCTTCTCTAGCCCTGTTTCTTTTAAWCTATAAATGGCAGGGAAGTGTAAAGCTAAATAGTGCTAAAGTTCGGGAGGTCTGTGCATTTTCCAGTTGAGCTGCTTATGCTGTAACAGTGAGATATTTTCTCTCATACTTTACACTTCCACATCAAATTTTGGATCATGGCTGATGGTGCACATTGTGTGCTTGAATAAGAGCTGCTTTTGTTAAATTCAGTAGAAACATTGTCAGTGATTATTTATGGTTCACTTCTCTGAAAGTAATAGSAAGTCAGGAATGCAGGACCATTGAGCTGACTGTATTTCCTGCATAGTATTTTCTAACTTTCTCTTTCTTTCTCCCCTTAATCTGTACCTGCAATTCTAGGTATAGTAGTGTTTATCATTCCCATATCCACCAATCCGTTATTAATGAGTTGCTTCATCCTGTTATGGATACAGTTGGGGCAGTTCATAGCTGTCAGTCCTGGATCACTTGATGGTAAGTCCCACCCACACTACTTCAGACTGAAGTTCTCCTTCCATGTAGGTTATGAAAATGAAATAGGGTTTGGGTTTTTTTGAGTTTAGGTAGCATTTTATGCCTCCTTCTCCCATAACCCCCAGCTCCACCAGTTTTTAGTCACTGTTTCTCCACTTGCCTGTCTTTCTTCTCAGGTAATACCTTCCACTTCTTCAAAATTTTATTTTAAGGCAGCTTTGTTACTAAAAATACTTCTCTGTTACAGTGGTGTCTTCCAGTAGTTACATTTTCTRTATAGTTTTTAACAGTAGTTATGACGTAAAACAAAACTACATTAAACGAAAACTTAGAGAGTAAAAATAGTGCATTGCATTGCATGTGAAAAACATTTTTTTAATAAACATTAGATGTTTTTTCCATAATGAACCATGTAGTTTAGACTGAAAATTTCTGACTCAGAGAGTAAATAGCCCTAGGAAAATGGGTTTTAAGGTTATCATACCATATGTTCAAATGAGTAAGTTTAGCATGCTCTTGGAAGAATAGCATAAGTTTGCAAATATGATTGTTCCAAGAATTTATAWAATCTTAACTCCTAATCTCTGATTAATAACACTAATAATGATAGTAGTAGTAGTAAAGAAAGCAACCACCAGTTACTAGAGGAAACTTGTACCTTAGGTTTTCTCTGTTTTCSAATTAAATACTTTGTCTGCCTCAAAGTACAGTGGCAAGCTTTGTTCTTGGATGAAAGTCTTTTAACAGCTTAATTTGTATTCTTATTTGGTCTAGATCAAAGAATCTCAATTTTAGAGACGTTGGGTAAAAGAGATGGACATAGCTCAGAAACACCAGAGTACTTTTGAGTCTGTCAGAGTTAGCTAGCAAAGGCAGTATAGCTCAGTTGGTAGCCTAGTTATTTTTGGCTAGGTGGTTACAGCTAGAGCCTTAAAATTGTCAGCTGGTTCTGATAATAACCATCTCATGTTCAATATCTGTTGTTTCACCAGATGATTTTCTGTACTTTCTGGTTGTACTGAGGGAGAGAACAAAATAGTCGAGGATTGCAGTAGTTAATCATCATGGCTCAATGTATGTCACTGCAGCATTTTTCCTACTGTTGTCTTGATTCCCTCTGTTTGTTTTTTATCCCTGTATTTCTCAATCTGTTCCTGGGAGCTTTGAATGGAGGATAATTGTGGTCTGAGTAGAATTTTGTAACATCTTTTGTTCCCCTGTCATTTATGCTGAAATAGGCTTCAGGGCTCACATGAGGTAGCCAAGTATGTGAGTGTCTGTGATGGCAATCTATTAATTAACTGGCCCCTTTTCTTTGCTTGCTGCTGCTTTTTTTCCCCCTCTGACTTTGGAAATGTACTCTCTGATAGAAAAAACACTTGAAATGTTGGAAATTAGTCTTGACCAGTCCAAGAACAGCCTTTTATTAATTGTTTTGTGGCAGTTAGTCAAAAAATGGAGCTAATGTGTCCATTTGGTGCATTTTGCTTCACTCATAAATCTTAATTATTCACCTTTCAGGGAAAGTCAGATTTTTTGAAGAGAGAGTTGGTTTAAAGACCTCCTGTCCTTGATAATTGCTGCAGACAAGTATCTCCCTAAACCTAAATTTCAAATGAAACTTCATATGCTTCATGAGAATATACTTGAYCCCTAGCATAAAAGGAAGGAATCTGTCATTTYAGARAACTTGCAGAAAATAGTCATTCAGTGGTTTAGTTAAAACATAATACTGGGATTTTTGAGTAAAGCTGTAATAAGCAGTAATGGAAATAGTACAGTTCTATGCTGTTGTCTGAAGAACTGCACTTCAGGATGTTTTAAAGAAAAGYAAAGGATACTAACTAGGAAAATGACAATCTAAAGCATGGAAAATCTTACTTTTGTAAAGGTGAAAGAACACTATAGTCATACAGTGACCAGAAGAGAGTAATAAGTATATCACAGATTGATACTTTCACTAGAAATATTAGAATATAAGAGAGTATTTTCTTAAATTGAAAAGCAGTTGGGGACTGTGGCAAACATRACTCTCTTTTGCATTGAAGGATGGATCCTGTCCACTCACCCTTTTGCATGCAAATGGACTCATTTTATGTAGTTGCACATTTTGGGTTTCATTATCTCACTTTGTGATGCACATGGAGTTGTCCTTTGGCTAAAAGCTCCATTCAGCTCTAAAGGAGCTGTTGTGCTTTCCTGTTGAAAGGTCTTTGTGGGTTTTACCTGCCCTTTCCATTCATCCCTATAATCCATGTGACCATTTATTTGTCACAGAAATGAACCCACTTCTAAACTGCAAAGGCAAAATGGTTCATGTTTTCATAAGTTTATCCTGATTTTTCCTACTTATGTGGCTTAGTGTGTCCCTCTCATCATGAACATTGCAGTACCTGTTTCACAGAAAAGGTAAATTTCCTTGTGGATGCCTATTTTTGAGACCTTTTATGTTAGCTGCTTTTTTTTCTACGGGGCAGTATCTTAGCAGTGTACAATCTGATTTTAGCCAGCACTTTTAATACTTTCTTTGTCATTGTAGGCATTCATTTAATATCAGTATTCTCTCCAAAGACATTTAGTATGTTCATCTTTGTGTATGATTTTACAGTCAGTTGAGTGAGAAAACCCTCAACATTTTTCTTTTTAGGTCTCCTATTATATAATTCTTGAAGCTTTYTAGAAACTGGTGGAATGTTGTAAAGTATCATCACCATGCAGGGGTTGTCCTGTAAGGGTTTAGCAGCTTGGCTTTCAGACTTTATAGACAGGCAGATCTAGAGGAATAATCTTCTATTATTAGKTAGAAAACATCCTGGTTTCAACAAACTGTCTTGGGCAAGTTGCAAAGAAGTGAATGAAGATATTGCATCTTTCTTGTCCTAAGCTTGGGTGTTATAAATAATAAGTATTTGAATAGTTAATGGAGTTGTGACACCCTGCATTTTCCAGCATGGTTTCTGGTATGCAGTGGCAAAAATAAATTAATTGTTACTTGGCACTGAAAGTTACTTGAAGATACATTAAATAGCTCTTAGATGTTGAGCACAATGAAAGGACAAATGGTAGATGAGCACAAAATAGTGGGAGATTCCATGCAAAATAATTGCATATAGCATTAGGATTGGGTAGATGATCTCAAAGGTCTCGTCCAACCTAAATGATTCTGTAAGGATGCATTTGGGAATGCTAGCAGCTGCTTTCACACATGGATTCTAGTGGATATGCTCTTCATGTTTAAGAGCAGTCATGCAAGGTTTGCACCTTTGGGGTAAATGCTTTTAGTGACAATGAATGGCAGTGCACAGRTTCATTGCAGGCTCTTCTTTAAAAGCGGGGAAGAAAGTAATGATAGAAGTGAAGTTTGATGCCATCTGTAACTTCCAGAAATCAGTTATGAAGGACTGACTGTATTTGATACAACTCTCAGTGGAGTAATACTTGGTGAAATGTAGAAAAAATAGGCAAGCAGATTCAGTCTTACTGGGAATTTGTGTCTGTTACTCTCTTGGCAGAATATCTTCTATCCATTAAAACATTGCAGATGTAAAATGTAAAGGCACTCTGCTTGGACACTCAGATGTTGAAACTATAAGAAAGTTTATCCAGATGTCTAAACTATTACTGTTAGAGTTACTAGAAAAAATTACATATTGAATAACGCAATAGGAGATTTGGTTATTTTGAATTTAGAACAAAAACCTGTATTTCTAGGTATTTTATAGCCTGTTGCTAAAGTCACTGGTCATTACTGCCCATTAATAATGGTGGGTATGGGTACACTGGAGAAATTAAACTTCTTACACGTTTGCTTACTTTCTCTTGAAGTAACATATCCACCAATCCGGACCCAATCTGTTGTATTTCAAATTGAATGCAAAATTTTGAGATTTAGGTTTTGGGGGAAGAATGAAAAGATTGGTTTAAAGTTGTGCATAGTAGTTGAGTTTGATTTATTAGAAGCCCTCTAGAGCTATATAATTATCTGGTGGGAAGCTGATTTGGTGTGACTTGCCGTCCAGAGATCCTGAAGTGACAGCCTGAACTGCTCCTTTATCTTTGGAGAGAAGAGACTTTGCCCATTAGTAACGGATTGCTGGATATATTATTTTAGAGAAAAAAAAAGAACAAACAGGTAAGATTTTTTCATTCTCCTCCTCTACTGTTTCCTGTCTGCTACAAAAGCATTCTCTGTCATCTTTGATCTGTCAGCTGTTGATTTTTTGGAGACATGATCAGGTAGTCTCAAAGTATGCAAAATCTGAATGTAATAATTATTGCAAATATTTTGTACTGTGGCTGTAGAGTATTAATACACTCCCTGGAAAAAGACAGTTTCTAGTTGCAAGTTGCAGATATTGAGGATCTAAGGATGTTGACTTGGGGATTTTGAAAGTAAAGCTTGGGTAGAGGCAGGAAAGTTAGCAGTAGCTTTTGTAGATAATCCCTACAGAATATTTTTGCTTGTTTCCTCTGTACATGACAAGAAAAAAGTCAAGTGAGTCAACTGGCAGTTTGTCATAAAACAATGTTTCCCATCTGACAAATACAGTTACATTTTGAAAAGTTTTAGAAAAGTCCCTGACACAAAGTTTGTGCTTTTTTCCAAAAGGCGTTGCCTTTTTGATACCATATTTAACTTGGAATATGGTAATGCATGCACTGTACCAAGGCTTTAGGTTATTTTTCACCTCTAGCAGGCATTGGTATCTCAGTGTGGCTGAATTTCAGGATATGGGCTTTTTTTGAGTTAACKTCTTTTTTTCAACAGTGTTTATATGATCAGAAAGAGCTGGAATGTGAAGTCAGGAGCACACTAGTGAAAGTTAATCCTAAATTTAGATTTCCTGTCTTAGTTTCATGAAGCTGCTCTTACGGGCTAGACAGATATTGCAAGGACAAAAAAAAGGGAGAACAAAAACTTGTTTAAACTAATGCACATATGCGTTGTACAGGTATCTGTTGATTGTGAGTTAAATCATCTTTAAAATAAATAAATAAATGGTTTGGGTTCAAGGTCAGGTTGGATGTGACTTAGCAATCAGTAAGGGGCTTGGAACTGAATGACTTTTAAAAGACCCTTCCAACTCAAACCATCCTGTGATTCTGTAAATGCAAATTTAAATGTTCAGTATTAATTTAAAGTGAYGAAAATTGTGTTGGAGTTACCATAGTGTAAATGAGATCGGCATCCAGAGTGTGTTGGGATTCACAAGTGTGCTGGGATTTCTTCCAGTGTAAGTCACTACAATATAAGTAGACAGTATTGCTGTTGTTTGAATGTGGGCAAAGTAAAAAGGCATAGGGGGAATTTTGGTAGAAATCTTCACAATTCTTAAGATGCTATTACTGGGGGAGACAGGGAGGAGCAAATACATTTGAAGGTTTCTCCAGCTTTTTGTCAGGGAGTTATATCTTTGAGTTAGCTCAGTACTTAGAAAACTTTCCCTAACTCCCTCTAAGAATTCTTCCCTTTAAGAAACCACAACAAAGACACAAAAAAAAGATTTAAAATATCCTTTCATTTTTTGCCTTTTACTGTCTTGAAATCTATGTACCTATTTTTAATTCTACAGCTGTTGGGGACAGCAGAGTTTTTTTCTCTTCATGGAMACTGTATTTTACTACTCATCATGGCAAACCATTTGCCAAGTCTGTGGCAGAAATAGACTGTTCAGTTCTGCAGCCATTGTTGGAAAACAACACAGTTGGGTTTTAGGGGCAAARAGAGGGTCACATGGAGTTCTAAACCTATTTTCTTGTCTTCCAATCAGAAGTGCAGGCTTGGGGCAGGTTACTGTAAGCTTGAAAATTCATCCTTAGCCTTCAGAGATGACTTTACACTATGTACATATTTGCAGCATTTCTTAYTCCCAAACTCCTATTGGAGCTGCCTCAGTATTTTGCTAAGAAGGGAAGTGTTGGAAAGAGTTGCAGGTGAAAGAGCTGAGAAACGGGAAGGAAAGGAAGGAGCCAAACAGATGTGGAAAGAGGAGAATTTTCCAATGGTTTAGARTGGTGGTAGGTTTTTTGCTACTGGCTAATCCACTCATTTGCCCTACTACAATTGTCTGAATCAGCAGAAAAATCAGTCATACGGATACACACTAATGGCAGTCAGTGATGAAATACGTATCCTAAAATCACTTTTCTCTTACCTTCTATTACCCTTGTAAGCTCAGAGCACAATAGGAAAGGTTTATGCCTTCCTCCCCAGCAGTATAATGTAAATACTTTGCAAATGAAATAATTGTAAATATGAACCAAATACTTACAAAAATACCAATAATTGTAGCCAGTATAAGCTTGGTTGCTGCTATCAKTCAGGTTGTGTGTTTCTGCTTGATTGTTGTTGGATCGTATTTTTCTTTTAAGAGAGGAGATTTCCTTTAAATGAGAACTTCCTTAAATGCTCCTGAAGCAATAGTAGCATTTCAAAATTAATGTCTAAATAGTTGCTACTACAACTTTACTGAAGTTCACTTTAAACAGAGCCATAAGGCAGCTATTCATTGACTTTTTATAGCATTTACAAAGAGCATTAAGCTGTTTCATGTGTAACGTGGGTAAGGATTTATTTTTTGCTTTTGCTTCCTCACAAGAAAGGAGGATGTTGGAGAATGTTACTGGTAACAACTACAGAACATTGGAGAGGTGGTGAGAACCAGTAACTGTACTGTATTTTGAAAGGCAAGGGAATGTTGGCTTGTTAAGAGGAAAGTTCATCAGAAGCCTGTATGTTCTGTGGGAAGTTTGCCAGTGCATTGTTTGAGATTAATTTTATGCTTTTAAAATTTAATTTTATACAATATAAAATGTAGTATGGCATAGAAAAAACATTATTAAATAATTATTGCACATTAAAAACTTCAAACAAATTTATTTCAGAATATGTTCTTGTTCGTGTTATTAAGAATTGCATGGTCATTAAGAATTTGGTTTTGCTTCAATRTGTTGGAAGGTGAGCCAAAAAAGTCAAAATCTCTGAAGCTCCTGTGCTATACAGCCACTGATACGAGTTGTTCTTTTTTTTTCTCACAAGTGTGTAGTTGGTGGGTGCAATGCCAGCTTTGCWTCTCAGGGAGGACTTGCCCGTCATGTGCCCACACACTTCAGCCAGCAGAACTCTTCAAAAGTTGCCAGCCAGCCAAAGGCCAAAGAGGAATCTCCATCTAAAGCTGGAATGAATAAAAGAAGAAAATTAAAGAACAAGAGACGACGATCACTACGTAAGTGTTTTGCAGAAGTTCTTGAAAGGCTTGTCTTATATTCAAAGTTCCTCCTCACTGTGTTGGTTTCTCTGTGTATTTGATTCTGGTGGAGGTGCCATTCCTTGTGATGGGAAGAAAACAATTCCAGATTGTGTTCCATTTTAGGGTAGATCTCTCAGTGTTAAGGAGAAAAGATCAGTTTCCTGTGAGCAACGCTTGGATTGCCAGTTGAAAGAAGCTTTCATTTCAGAGTTGATTTTTGTTTGCTGACTATATTACTGTTGGAAARTGTTCTGTTTAGTTCTGATGAGATCTGAAGTTCAGACAGAGATTGCAGATTCATGTAAATTAGAGATAAATGCATGTTATATAAGCTCTTTTTTGAGCAAAACATTTCATTATGTTAATGACAGTTTTATGAGCATAACCAAGATATAATTTTGGGCAGAATTGACTTGCTGTGTTTTTTTAAACTGTCTCCACATAGTTGATGTTCATTAATTTTTATGAACCACTGTGCTGAGAGGTGTGATTTGTCATCTAAAGTGAGAACTGTTTCCTCTAGCAAGGAATAATCACTTACTCAGTACCTCTTCTAGTCCATTTGGATCTGGTCGTTTGATTCCTGAGTTGTCCTAGCACTAGACTAATAAAATACCGAATTTCTATAGAAATTCTGATCTACAGGAATAGTTAGGAAAGATTAGGCAGTTGTTACAATTAGGCAGTAAAATATTTCACTTTGTTTTACAATAGCTTTGGGTTCAACTCTCCAGTACCAAGCTGATCATTTTAAAGTGTTACTGTGACACCTGCATTTTAGAGACATGAGAAAACCTATTTACATTTTTTTCTGCTGGTATGTTAGCAGCTGAAGAAAAAGCTTAATGAATTTTTACTTGTGGTGCAAAGTCTGTCTTACAGYATTGGAGAGTAGCACAAGAGATCTTTTTTTATGAACCACTGGACTTGTTAAATTTCAGTCCACAGTCTTTCTTCTCCAGAACCCTTCTGTGGCACAGCACTTAACTGTATCCATCTTTCTCTTTCTGTGAAAAAATACAGTTASCAGTTATTCAAATGGTACTGCAACAATGGATCCACATACTGGTGGATCAGTGGTCTCAGGTGATTATACTTTATCACATGATTGTGATTTATTGTTAATACCTCGCCTGTGTTTTAAGGAGCTTAATGGAAATTTATGAAGTAGTGGTCATGTTTCTGCCTTGCATGCAGACAAGCATATCCCGGGAAGTAAGAGTATTATCTGCAATTCTGAAAAGTTTCTTGAGCCACTGGGTATGTCTGGGTATTCTTAAAATATATTTGAGCAAATTATGTTGTGAAATACATCTTACAAGTAGAGATTTCAAGAGTTCCTTTAATTTTGATTCAACTTTTAAAGAAATTAGAGAACTGTTTCTGTCCTTTGCAGAATTTTATTTTCCAAAAGCTTGCCCTTTCATGCTAGAAATCTGTGTAAATGAGAAGGTTCAAGAAGGGAGGGCTGATCAGTGCAGGGTTGTGGCTCACTTTGCAGTATCTTTTTGCATCTTAGATGTAATGAGAGAGACACCTTGAGGTAATTGCAGGTTCCCAAAGGATTATCTTGATTTGTTGACTGTGTTACTCAAAATATAGATGGCTAAGACCAGTCACCTCAAAGTTTTCATTTTCAGAGGTTCCTGAGTTGCATCTTAGCTTGCTTCTATATGTTGGTTTTGTTAGGTAGTTGATTTAATGCATCTTAATTCATTCCCACCTCCACTGTATGCAGAAGTAGTTTTTTAGATTCACATTTTATTAGTAATTGATGAATACTATATTATTTGACTTGCAAATTTCAAATCAGAGTTTCATAATTAAAACTTCAAATTACCTATTAAGATGTTCTAGTTGTAATAAGAATTTGCTGCAGAATTTGTGAATGAATTTATGGCAAAAAAATGTAAATAATAAATATTGTGGGAATGTTAAAGACCAGACTGTAGTATTTGATTGGTCTGCTGTCTTGATCAAGTGTTGCACAGGAAGAAAAATGACAGTTGCTTGGGCAATTTCTTATCTTCTTGCCTCGTGAGGCAAATGCAATGCTGGCTGTAGACTTTTGCCCTAAGGCAGAAATCATCTCTAACTGAGTTGGGAACTGGCTACTGTAATGTATTTCTCCAGAGGGTATGTGACCCTGAAATGTATCCAAAGTTGATGGCATTTTCAGAAAGTGCTAAGTATTGGCAGCTTCCTTTCAAACTTGGTGTGGATTATTGTTGATGAAGYGAACGTGACAAAGGGCTGATACAATTTTGCTTGTCTTTCTGTTTCTTAGCTTAGTTCTAGTTAAAGAATCAGGTGTGCAAGTTTGAATGTTTTGTCTTTATAGGAAGAATGGGGGAAAGCAAWAACCCTTATCTAAGAAGCCAGAATAACACGATTAACAGCATTAAGTATTTTCAGTCCGGGGGAAATAAAGTGAAGAGCCTGGATTTATATTTAGATATTTTTAAGTACCCAAAAGGAAAAGCGTTCAACCTAAGTCCCAGGTTCTCTTCAAGTAGTGTTATGAGGACTTAATGACATGGATGTAAAACAAAATGCCATTAGATAGTGGACAATCTGTGTAAATCACTTGCAGGTAAGAATTCAGCAAAACCTGGCAGCTGAGCACCACAAAACTGTTGTCAGCATGTTCTTTCTACCTCATGGTTTTGTTAGGCCCTGTTTTTCTTTTAAAGGTGTAAGTGGATTACTAAGTATTCATTGACAATTGATGGCCAATATATGCTGTTACTGAAGCATCATCATGTATAAATTCTAGATAGTTTTAAGTACAGAAAATTTATAAATTYGCTTCCTCTGTTTTATAGCTGAAGGTTAACACCCTTCTGTGAGAGAATGTGTAATGTAAAAGGAGACTTTATTGTGGCGATATGTGATGATAATACAGTCTTCTAACTTACTGTAAAGAGAATTTTTACTGTTACTTAATTTTTTTTTATCATCTTGCCATTTTAAAGTGTTTCTCATTTCTTTTGTCTTGTCTGTAAACAATGCATTTTTTTATAAGTCCTGGAATCAGCACTTTTATGATAAAGGCATGTTTTACTTGTGACACCCATTTAGCTAGTTGCATTTGTGGTGCTATAAAGATCTTACTTGTTTTAAAATTTTTGATGTAGAATAATTCAGGATTAGTCTTTTTCTTCTGGACAGCCTTTTAARTGTTCTCTCATTCACAAAGACTGGCACTTAGAAGGAGATGTTGAAAGTGTGTATCTCTAATATAGGTTATAGTGTTGATCTCCTGAAGCTACCTGGAATGATCTTACACTGTCACTTCCATTGCAAAGATGATACTGTAGCTATTAACAAGCATGATAATCGAGTTCACATGAGGAATAGAAGAGAGATAAGGARGCTTACTGTTCATGGGATTTACAGTATAACTCGTTATGTAGGGTTTGCATTTTCATTTGGTAGGTTACTGGTATGATGATGTTAATTTACTTGACTTAAGTAATTGATGTGTGCTTGGAACTTGCATTATTAAGCAGGAAGGGAGATACTTACATCCATTTCTTCAAAATCATTTTCAGAATAAAGGTGCATAGAAAATACAGCACTAATGCTTAGTAGAGAGTAAATAAAATTATTCATATGCTTTTGAAAAATTGTGCCCTTTCTTCTAATTTTCTGCTGTAAATCCTGGAGAAATTCATTGTATGAAACCAAAAGCAAAAATATGAGTTTGTTTTTTTATTTCCCCTTTCTTTCCACCCTCTCTCCTTTCYTCCCTCATACTTATTTATCAAATATTTATATGCTTGCATCACTGACCACCTGCAGCATGAGCTGTGGTCCTACATTGCCACTTAGAGCGAGAAAACATTGCACTGAGATGATTGCCTAATTGGCAGYATCCAACTGAGATGGAGCAGGGACAGAACAGAATGTACAGATGAATGCTTACCAACAATCAATCCCAGGAGTGCAGCAAATGCTTTTTTAAGTGGAATTTGTAGTTCATTTTGAAATAATGGATAGAGGAATATAGAAGCTGTTTTAAATGAAGGCAGCAGGACTTTGATTCATTGTTTGTGCAGATTTCAGGGTAACACGTAGTTGATATGTAATAGCAAATCCTATTCTTAGTTTTAATTTCAGTGTGTTATTTAATAAATTACTATTCTCAAATTAGGCTTGAAAATGTGAATATTTTAATTCAGACTTTATTTGCTAATGTAATATTATTACTGTTTATGTGTAATTTTAAAATTTTTGTGTGAAGTATTTCCAATATTATGCAAATCTGTTCCTAGTAGCAATTATTTTTAGTTTAAGTACATTTAGTATAGAATTGATGGACCTTCTTTTACAGTGTAAATCAAAAGTCAATGATCTTTTTACTGTTCAAGAAACACTTAACTGTGAAAATTCTTTTCTAAAAGGAGAAGGTCTTTATTATTGCCTGCTGGTTTTAGACAACCGTAAAATCTCAGATATATATTACTTTTGCTTTACTCATTATAAATTGAGGTGTAATACATGATGCAGTTGATGCTTCTTGGCTAGAAAACGTTTATTTACAGTCAAAAAACATGGAATGACAGCTTTTACATAGAAATGARTAATAGTATGGAGGTTTTCACCTGACTGTTTAGCATTACTGAAACTTCAATGAGTGGATGTAGTTACATTTCTTGGAAATAGCTGTTTCATCCACAGGGAGTGTGTTTTGACCAAACTTGAACTGTGCTTCTCTTGGAGTAATTTCTCCCTCTCAGTGAAATTAATATTTGCAGCTCTCTGACAAGGTAGTGTTACTGATATAATGATAAATGATTTACTAATGACACTTCAGACCTGTTTACATGCCTGAATGTGTTTGAATGCTTTGATTGTGTTGAACACTAATGATCTCTTTTCCCTTTTTTTTTTTCCAGCAAGACCTCATGACTTCTTTGATGCACAAACACTGGATGCTATAAGACATCGAGCCATCTGCTTTAATCTCTCAGCACATATAGAAAGTTTAGGAAAAGGCCACAGTGTTGTATTTCATAGTACTGTAAGTATTTATATTATGCATTCTGTTTGTTTACTGTGTGTCTGAAAAATCTCATCCTTCTGAAAGATTTTTGTTTGCCTCTAACTGCTRTAGGCATTTAATCAGAAATAAGTAATATGGCTAGTTTATATTGTTGAGTTGTCCACTGCTATTAGTAAATTAACTTTGAAGTAGTATTGGTGGTAGTTTTAGTTCACAAATTGAATGGATTGCAACGTATCCTGTCTGATCCACTTGGGGAATATTTAACAACTTTGTGTTGTAGAAAAAATTGGTTCTGTCTTCTAAGTAAGAATGCACTTCAGATGGGATTTTCATAGTCGTGAGTGACAGTGTTAATTTATCACAAGAAATATAAGTTCAGGTTTTCTTAAGCATATTGGCAGATAAGGGCATGTGAAAGGCAGAAGCCTGGCTGAAGAAARGAAGTGAGAGACGGAACAAAATGARGAGGGATGGTTTTAAATGCAAACAAGGAGTGTTTGCTGATGTGTCTTCAGCTTAATCTTAGTATGTGATTCAAACTCTTGATCTATCAGTCTCTTTCCATAAAGGAAAGATGATTTTGTAAGCATGAAGCTTATATATCTTGTGCTGCAAGACTGATGATGGTTATAAATATCTGTGGCCTGTATTGGAAATCTTTTTCAAATGATTTCTGCTGAACTTTATGTGCATTGAGCACCAGCTGCAAGTAGAGATTTGCAGGTGGTTTAGCTGTTACTGTACTTAAATCTTGTTCTAGTTTTCCTGGCATGCATGGATTTTACAACACTGTGAGAAAAGCAGTTTCTCTTCCAATTCACAGCTTGCTTTAATGTGAAAGGTTATCCAGGCAGTCTACTTTGTTGTGGAAGCACAGCTCTAGCTATTGGGAATAATTCATAAGGAGATGGAATTAGAGGGAGGAATCTGCTCTAAAACTGCTTCAAATTAACTTGAAGGAAGTGGTGAAAATCCTTTTAGCTCATCCGTGCATGCGTTAGTGGAGATGGTAGGAGGTTGATTGGTTCTGAAATTGCTTAGACCTCWGTTGTGGCAGGGGTTGTACCAGTGGCAGAACTGCTCTAGGATTCCAGCCCTGTGCTGCACTTTGCTGCTGTATTGTGGTGTGCTGGTTTGTGTTGGACATCATGAGCCTAAAATCAGCTTTAAAAAAGAAAGGTTTGCTCAGAGCAGTTTTGTGGACGTGCACTGTTACACTGAGATAGTGATACCTCACATAGAAACACACATTTTGCATCACTGACAAGCATTAGGATGTGGGATTTGAATGGTGACTGGCTAAATGGCATAGTAAGTTSATGTGGTCCACTGTCAAATGAAGAAAAAAAGTGTAATTATCAGAGGGATTCATTTGAAAGGTGAAAAATTGGAAGAAGAAACTGCTTTGCTGTCTGAAAACAGGCATAAATGATGTGGCTTCATTGTTTTATGCAGCATAAGAATAATGTCAGCACAGTGCAGTATCTTTCAGGACAGATATTCTAATAAAAAGAATTTCTGAGCAGTTACTGTAGATACCTTTCATGTCCTCTGAAAAGGCACATCCTTTCATTTATATATACTCTTTTTTAAACACATCMTTTTCTTTGTAGATATGGAGAGATTTAGAATCCAGGCATTAATAAAACCTTTTTGAAGAAAGGTTTTAAAGGTGCTTGCSGTCCAGAATACACCTTTGACTTGATTAAGGTTTTTTTTCTGCTTGCTTTTTTTTTGTTAGAGTCAAATTATTTGTACTTTAATCATCTGAACTGTTAGATGGAAAAAGCTAAGTCTTTCTAGTTAACCTAAGGAACAGATATTACACGCTTTGAAAAACGTAACTTATAGGTTACCCTGTCATGCCACCCCCAAYCTTTGAAATGGCTTGAATTAATTCTCTGAAATATGTGAACACTAAACTGTTCTCTGTTTTGAGCTCTTTTAGGTATTTTTGTTCAGTGACTACCTGTATTTTAAGTAGTTACATTGTTTTGATACATTGAAACTTTGTAAGAAATAAGGAATACGGTGAGATGCCTCCAATTTACAGTGTGAAATTGTTTTCTTTTTCCAGAAGAGGTCAGCAGAACTCCATTTCTCATTTGAGGCAACTTTGATGCRTGTTCCCTTTAAATTTCCATTTTATTTCTGGCACAGGGCATGAAATATTGAAAGTATAGTAAGAATATTTCCAAATAAAGGTGTATTAAGCATACATGTTCTGGGTGAATTGTGCTTTTCACTTAAAAACGTAAATGGATTTAAGTTCTATGCACAACAACTTTCAGAGCATATTTACTGCAGACACACATCTTTTAAGGAGTTTGTAACAGTTTGCTTTCTATTAACGTCTAGTTGGACATGAACAACAGCTTTTGAGCAAAAAATCTGGAATTTGGTTTTAATTATGATTTATGTAATTGTTATAGGTAATAGCTAAAAGAAAAGAAGATTCTGGGAAAATAAAACTCTTGCTTCACTGGACACCAGAGGACATGTGAGTATATTGYTCAGTGATATGTTTTAAATGGGGGAAGGATTTACAGTGGCTTCAGTGAACTATTACTAAGTTATTTTGTGCTTTTGAATATTTGAGTTAAAGCGTTTTAAAAATGCTTTTTTTTTTCTAAAAGTAATTTAGAAATTTAAAAATTAATAACCATGAGTTTATTGATTTTTGCTTTAACTTTCAAKTCTTTAGACTCTAATCCCAGTTCAGGTAAATTTGCATCTGTATTTTTAATGCATTTTGTCAAAAGACTCAATCTTGAGAGACAATAGCTAAAGTATCTTATAAAATATGCTCTTTTTTTGTTCCTTTTAGGATGGATAGTATACTATATATAACATCACTCTGAAATGATTCATTCTAAAATGTTACAGATAAAGACAGTTAAATGCATTTTAAGATAAGCCATAAGAAGTATGCAGCACTGCGAGCATGAAAAAGAAATAAAAAGAGTTATTTTTTTTTTTTAATGTAGAGTCAAATGAGCTAGAAAAGAGTAATTTTTTTTTTTAATGTAGAGTCAAATGAGTTAGTTGCTCCTGTAGACAAATTCAGTATTAGAATCCCTGCGTGGGAGAAGACAGGACGTTCAGTAATGTTCAGACATTGCCGATGGAATGTAGCTGGGGTTGGTCAGGTCAGAGGGATAATGTGTGTGAGTTACATTGCTGCTGGTTGCACCTTGATTGGATAGGACAGAGTGTGTATTTCATGCACTGAATGATGTAGTTTTGAATTACTGGATATTCAGTAGATTGAATTTGATCTTGATTATCCTATTTATAAGAGCAAATGCCAAGGTGCCCTGGCACATGCCATCAGTCTGTTTTACACTGTCAGGGTACTCACATTTAGAAAGTGCAATGCAGTTATGGGGATTCCTTTCCACTTCACTGAGCTGTTCATCAGCCTTCCAGATGGAGCTGAGAGTGATGATTTAACTTCTTCTACTCTGAATCCTCTTGAGAAACTGTTAGAAGTGCTCCAGGTTGTCCATACATTAATGTTCATACATTTTTTTTTTAGGAAAAGTAAATACTAGTCTTTAACTCATTTCTTATACAACAGGGAAATGAATTTTATTGGGTTGTGTGGGAGGGGGTGTTCTGTTGTATTTGGGTTTTTTTCCTTAAGAGCAGTAATTTTTTATTGGTGGCAGTAAATGARCTTACTGAGTTGTTGTCTTTTTGTGTATTTCAAATAGTCTCTGTAAGTGAAAAGTTTCCTTATTTGCTGTTTGCARCTTGAGTATATAGTTTCTACTGAAAACGTTTTCCCAATTGGTTGTCCAAAAACTGATTTTTGGCTTTAAATAAAAAAACTTCTGTGGTGTTTTTCCACCTTTCATAATCCATAAACCTTAGTGGATGATGTATGGTTTGGCTTCTGGGTTGTTCTCCCTCCCTCTGTTTTTTTTCTTTTTTCTTTCTATCTTCATCTGAAAAGTTTCATTAGAGAAGCTAATTTTCCTGCTGATTAGAAGTTCTTGGTTTATTCATGTTTTAAATAGATTACCGAAAAAATTGAATTTAATTTGTAGCCAACATTCAAAGTGAAACCTGCAAAATATAGATTCAGTGAAATAATGGGTAAAAGTCTAAATTTGCATTTAGCTTTGATCAGATAAAGTGCTGTTACATTTAGTTTTCAGTATTGGGTTTCTRAATTTGAAACCTGATTCAAAGGTTTCAACACCTTAATTACAATGTAAACTCTTCCCCAACCTGAGGTTAGTCTTTGACTGCTAGGATATGTTGAAAATTGTAAAAACGCCACCAAAAACCCAAAGGAGAAGATAATCAAACAAATAATTTCAGCAAAATTGGAGCATTTTGCCAATGAGACCTTTGAGCTTGGAGCAAGAAATTTAGTGTAACTCAAAACTCAGTGCCTGCAGTATATTCTGTCTTGTAATTAAACAGAATCAAAGATYTTTATGCCCAGTAAAATAAGGTATTTCCAAAGATCTTGTTGTTTTTTTTTGTTATCCATTTTCACATTAAATTGGAGAATGTGGTTCCATTATCATTGTATGCTAGGAATATACTTCTGGAATTATCTAAATTCTGTTCAGGATGTTTTTCACACTGAGAACTTGAAAAACTTTGAAGTATAACATGTAAAGGTTGTCTGCCTTTCCTCGCTCCAATGAAGATGTTTTTTAACCAGGGAAATGTGAAAATTGCTTCATGTGTACTAGTTTACCACATAATTTTATGGTAAGAAAAACAGTTGATCTTTTTTGAATATTTTTATTTTATTTATTTRTTCATAGTCTGCCTGATGTGTGGGTAAATGAAAGTGAGCGACATCAGTTAAAAACTAAAGTAGTTCATTTATCAAAACTACCAAAAGATACTGCCTTGCTACTGGACCCAAACATATACAGGTAACATCTTAATTTTGAAACTTTCTTTGCTTGAATGTAATCTTAAGCCTCACTTAACTTTTTGACGTTGGAAAATCAGGATTGCTAATGTATTATAGACCAGATCAGGGAGCCTTGGTACTGTAAACGTCCAGGAGTTAAGTTCTGAGGTCTTAAGTTATTTCAGAATTACTTCTTGAACTAAACTCTAGTTACTGAGAAACGGGGAATGTGTATTTACCAAGTGTATTTTACTTTTTTGTGCTTGGTGTACAGAAATTCTAGTAAAGGAGGTACATACAGTGGAATCCTGAAAGATCACTTCTGTTAAGATCACATACTGGTTTGTATACCAATTTTTTTAAAGTCCAAATTTATCTTTCCATATTATATTCAGCTGTAATACATGCAGTATTACCTTGAAAATTGTACTTGCATTCAAGTACTGTTACTTTTTTAATACAAGATTCTTTATAGGGGGCAAAAGGGAAAAATCCATGTTACTTGTCTTTAAGCCACTTTCACATTTCTGTTTTTAGGCCCTCAGATTGGCTTCTAATTCATCTGGTTTCTAATAATTTCCTGATTCTCACCCCCTTCCTTTATTACTGCTCTCCCATGATTATCAGTACCCACAGTTCTGTGTGTACAGTTTTTAAAGGTAATCTGAAATGCTTAATTCATTCTTAAATTTTGAACATTCCCAGAGACATATTTATGTGATTATATTAAAAATCCATGAAAATGGGTTGTGGAAAGAAAGTTTATCATAACAGAAGTTCAGTGTTCCGATGTTTCTTCCTTAACATCCAGTGACCAAGAGTCTCAAGGAGTAAATAACACACTAATATGAGGTCTTTCAATGCAATAAGCCTTTCAGTTCACCTTTAATATTCAGTGTATTTYACTAATCAAATTAATGAAAACTTGCTTTACAATATGAAAACAAATCCTACTGTATTTGCTATCTTTRTAAATGTAGCTATTTTAAATATTTACCTTAGTCTATGATGTTGATGGTAAAATCATGAAAATGTTACAGAGAAATTGGATTGTGTGTTTTAAAACTGCTTAATATAGTGACTGTTTTATAATCTAATTGACATGTTAATAATTTTGTATTGATTTTGACTTTTCAAAACTTGATAAGATTAGTTTGCTTTGAAAGTTAAAAAATAACCTTTTAAAATAAAAATATAATGATCTCTGGGATAAGTCCTTGGAGAAAAATTAGCAAACCTTTCTGTCTTTCCCAAATAAAATTAGGATACCCACATTTAGTGTGGTACTCGATTTTTGGCAATATGGATCAGTCTGAGATTGAACTGAGCTTTTGGGACCAGCTGAGGSAGTTTAATGATATTAATTTAAAGACCAAAACTTTGCAAGAGGTAAAGGTGGTTAAAGAAATTTAGTSCAGTGACAGCTATTAATATTGTGCTAAAATGTCACGCTTTACTAGAAAGTTTGAAATTATTATCTGAAATGTATGCTTTTATAGGAACATCTGAAATGGCTCTGGGTTTAATCAAATGGAAATAGATTTTGTATAGAAATGATTTTGTAGTATATTCAGCTGACTACTATGGACATCACACGGTCTTAATGTAAAGCTGTACCATCTTCTTTTACAGAACAATGCCCCAGAAGAGGTTGAAGAGGTAAAACCAAGCAAGTGGGGACACCTGCAGTCTTAGTCACTGACAATGGATTTAGAAATAAAGTTGCACATTAGTCAAATCCCATCTTTTTTTTTTTTTTCCTTTTTT